ACAGAAAATTTTCTTCTCTAAAATTGTCACCTTTCACCTCCTTTCCTGCTCTCTAGCAATGTTCTGTTGTCTGCTTTCATTTCCACTTTCTGCCCCACCCCCTCACCCCCTCTGCCCCCTCCTCTGGGCTCCTGACTCTTTCTGCAGCCTTTCTACTGCTGCCCCTTGGCTCCTCCTTACTGCTGTCTTTCTGCAACACCCCTGATCTTCTGGTAGGAAAGATCTACACCTAGCTTCTCGGACAAGGGCGAAAAATCTCGGAGGGCCCGTGTGTAAATTGCGCTCATTAAAGATCCCTTGGTGGCCACCTGGACAAAATTCAAAATTTCTTACCTACTTAAAATATTAGGTGTGTCCTGCTCGCTCATATGATCTTATGCAGTTGCGAGCACCGTAAAACACTTACCGAAAAGAAAAAAAAAAGAAAAGAAGTAAAAAGTAAATCTATTTCTGCAAAAATTGCAACTGCTATTTTTAGTGTTGTGCGGTTGGTGATACAAACGTAAGGAGATGATATAACCCGTGTGGTGCGTGAAAGAGGTACATATGAGAGAGAGACAGAGAGACAGAAAGGGGGAGAGGGGGGAGAGAGGGGAGAGAGAGAGTAAGAAAGAAAGAGAGAGAGACAAATAGAGAGTAAGAAATAGAGGGAGGAGTAAGAGAGCGAGTAAGAAAGAACGAAAGAGAGTAAGAGAGAGAGAGAGGGAGAGAGAGATAGAGATAGAGGGAGAGAGAGAGAGAGAGAGAGAGAGAGAGAGAGAGAGAGAGAGAGAGAGAATTAGAGAGGGGGGGACTCTCCGTTTGTTACAGTGCTCGAATCTCCCGTAGGATTAGGTGCCCCCAATAATGTATTATACTCAAACCCATAGCGGACCGTTTGCAACGCACAAATTACTGACTCTGCCTGCTTTTTAGCTTTCTTTTGACTCGTTTGGTAAAGGAATGATTCAAGGAGAGTAGAAAGGAAGACTGTTGGCCTACCTTCTAAACGAATTTATTGGGTCCTGTTGAGTATAAACTTTTACACAAACTACCCCTCCCCCAAATTAAACCCCAAACCAACATCCTTCAAGTACAAGTACGTCACGCAAAGTATTTCAGGATTTTCATAGACGTGTATAATGAAAACCTTAAATCATACACTCTGACGTAGTTCTGGTTCACTCGACGGAACTCACCATTTAACCGTGAAGGTCAAAGAGAGAATGAACGTGCCTAGCACACGACAATAGTGGTGCTTATGTTTCGCAGCGAAGTTGTTATAGTGAACAAAGTATGGCAGCCATGACAGTGCACTGTCTAAGAATATTACTTATTATAAGTCAAATCTATGGGGATTCCATGTACTTATCGTGCCGATATTTTTTCTTCATTTTGCTTTTTTGTTTTGTTTAAGGGGGGGGGGGGGCGTTTTCGAAGACCCACTCCCTATTTCCAATTTTTTAAAACTTAAGTACCCGATACTCCGAACACCCTCTCACCCTCATATGCTCTTGTGCCCAACATCCTCTCTTTCCCCAACCCACTCATCCCCGTTCCCGAACCCACTCCCCCACCCCTTTCCCCAAAAATCCCTAGAACCACCACTCGCTCTCCCAACTCCTTCATCCCCACCTTTCCATGCCCTTAATCCCCCATTCCCACTCCTCGACATCCCCCCCCCTTTCCCTCCGGATCGCATGATTCATCCCCCCCACCCCCACCCCCCCTCCCTTGCCCGCAGATGGCAGTTCTCATCAGCAAACCTCACTGGCTGTGGTACTGCCACTGCTGTGCCCATGAGGGCAGTATAAGTTTTGTAAGTTGTAGGTTCCGTTAAATTTAAAGCATTACAACTAAACAAACTTGTACATTTTATGTTTTTTGTTTATTTGCTTACGCCATGGGCGATGGAACTAGCTTAACTCCAATTGACTTCTTTTTACGACATAATCATGGGCACTTGTTAACAAAAGGCAACCTACGAAGAAATATGTAAGCATTTAATCTGCTTTTCACTTGCTGATCTTATTTATTATTATTATTATTATTATTATTATTATTATTACTATTATTATTATTATTATTATTATTT